GAGTTGTTTTATGATTTTCCCGCGGTGTGTGATGATTTGCTGAGATGCTATGATGTATATAAAGTCCCTGCCTTCCCCAAAGAGTGTATAAAACTGCTGCAAACCCTGGGCTCGGGGCCTCTCAGTGTCACCAGTTGCTGTGTGCACAGAGGACCGAGCTAGCTCCAATAAACACCTCTTTGCTGCTTACATCCATCTTGGTCTCTGGTGGTCTTTGGGGGGTCCCGAATTCAAACATAACAGTTTTAAGGACAGCCTTTGTAGGGGCCCACATAGGGGGAAATTAGGATTCCCACCAGCAACCAGCACCAACTTCCAAGCCAGGTGAGTGAGCTGTCACCTTGAAAGTGAATTCTCCAGCCCCACAAAACCCTTTACATGATTGATCTCCATGCAACATCTTGGCTGATCCTCATGAAAGATTCAAGTGAGAAGCTCTCAGTAAGGTCACTCCCAGAATCCCCGGAAACTCTGAGGAAATATATTTTTAAGCCAACAAATTTTTGGGTAACTCTTTATACAGCAATAGATACAACAGATTTGATGCCAAATAGAGGGTTCTGCTACTTGAAAAAAAATTAATGTGGGAGGTTTGGAACTGAGAAGCTGTAAAAACTTGGAAGAATTAGTGAAAATGGGAAGGCCCTGAAGGGACTGTTTATGTCAGTCTTTGAGAAAACTGCCAGGAAAACCAGTAAAATTTTATAGCTTCCTCAGACAATCCGAGTAAAATGTGCTTTGATTTTCTTTAATAAATTCTAAGTCTAGGCAAATGCCTTAATGAGCCTTTCTGTACTGCAGAGGGTAGAAAGTATAAAACTACATTTTCCAGGCCCCTCCTGCAGGTACGATTTATATAAAAGATAGATTTCACCAATTAGATACACCCTCAGGAGAGGTGGGAGGCAGCAGTAAGTGTAGGTCATCTACTTAGGGCTATGACTCACTCTGCTAATAAGTCACATTGTGGAGATTTTAGGTTTTTCTGAATAACCATCTTCAGCACCTACCATAAGTATGGTCAGTCTTGTTTCAGTAAGTAGCACCATCTACTTCAGCCATCTTATTTTGAAGTAAATCCCAACCATGTCATTTTATGGATATGTTTCGGCATCTCCTTTTTTAAAAGTAAATTCTTTAAAAAATAGATAACCACATCATCATTCCTAAAAAAATGGGGGAAAAAAGCAATAGTTCTTTAATATAATAAAGCATCCAGTCAATGTTCACATTGCCAATTATCTTTTATTGATACACAGGGGTTTTGGTTTTGGTTTTGCTGAGCAATACCCAAATAAGATCCACAAATCGCAAATGGTTGATATGCTTCTCAAGTCTTAATGTGCGAGTTCTTCCTTCATCTGTGTGATTTTATTTTCTTCGCAATTGTTTTTGAAGAAAGCAAGTTGTCTAGTTTCCCAGTCTGTGACTGTATCCTGATGAGAGTGTTTGTCTGACATTTTCCGTACTTCTGTCTTCTCAAATTTCTACAAAGTGGTTGTTAATCTGTAGTCTTGATCAGATTTAATTCTCCAAGACAAAGGTGCATTATCTCTGAAAAGACTTGCATCTGTCTCTATCAGGCTGCTAATGGTGACACTATCAGGCTGGGACCCTCTTTTAATGCATTTTATGGCTTGCAGGGTTTTTTGGTCTCCCCTAGTGATATGACTTTAAGCTGTTAATCTGCGAGGACTAGTTATGTTACAACTTTTCAGGATCATTTATTAATTTATTGGTCTCTTTGTTTATCTTCCTTGGAGTCTTCTGGGAACAGAAAGGAGGGCAAAATTATCTGATCCATCCCCATCACCACAAAGGCAAAGCCTTTTAGGGTACTAGCTTTGTGGGGTGTCTCTTACTAGTATCCAAGTTGCACAGCACCTTTAAGGGCTTTCACTTAGACTTCTCCCATAAGCCCCTGCTAACTGGCCAACTATGCAATGTTTTTAGGATGTTTTTAATTCCCCCCCCCCCAACTTTCTTAGTGGGAGGGTCAGCCTTAGTACGTAACTATGAAACACACATGAAATACACATATCCTATACTAAATAGAGACAACAGTGCCAGAAACACGCTTTGACTTACATACCTCCTCCCAGGTTCAGCCTCTTATGTCACTTAGTTCCTTTCCTAAGAATCTAAGATCTATGACTAGATCAAGGCTATGATCCTCCCCAAATAAAGTTCTCATGCTGTGAGCATGACTTGCCTCAAGTCATTAGATATTGCCAATGCTGTTTTCCTTAGAGGGCATAATAATTTCACAAGTAAGGACAACATTTTAGAACCTCGTTTTAAATAAAATTTCATTTATTCTACCACTAGTATAACAAAACACAACCTATAAGCCTAGGCCAGGTTTAAAATTATTTAGACATATTTTCATACCTTCCTGTTAAAAGAATATTTTCACCAAATGACTTTAAATCCACAGGAAAGAAAGCATATTCAGATCTGCATTGTGAGACCTGTGGATAGGCGCTCAACTTCATCACCCCATTTCTTTGTCCCGTTTTCACACCCTGCAGCCTCTTCTGCATATGATCAGAGATACAACTATTGATGGGTCACATACTCTGTCATTTCTCTACCCCAAAATGTAGTCAGTCCCAAAGTTGAGGAATTTGTTTACATTTTGACTTCACTAGTATTAAAATGCTAATATTTCATTAGTTTAATTCAAACTGAATAACCTCTAACAGAATAAGTCAAGATTATCATGAAGAGTGCTCCAGAACCTATGAAAAGTACTAAGATTATACCTTTAGTGATGCACAAAAGCCATGAACTTGAAGTGTTTAATCTTTTTCCTACAGAAAGTCATTTGAATATACTCTAAGCAGGAGAAAAAAGTTCAGATTCACCACCTCCAAAAGAATTATTCCTCCTCACTTAGTGCATGACAGTTCTGACTCATAGACATAAATGTATTCAATTCTAGTCCATTTTACTAGCTTTAAATATCATGCACCAATTACTAAGCTTTTGGACATAGTCACAATTAAAAGAGTTTTAAAAGAAAACAAGCCAATATGCAAACACATTTTCCAAGGAGTATCACCAGGAATAACTTAAAAGCCTCATCTAGTTGCCACAATTAAATTATCACATCAAAGGTGAACCCACCTGCAATTAAGTCATCAACTGAAAGCCCATTTCATCAATCCCATTGTTTGCTAAGATTGTTTGAATATTTAAAGTTAAAACATATACAGCTGTGATTTCCTTGTCATTATTCCTCATATATGGAAGTCATCAACAAAGATCTATTGAAGAAATGCAACAAGAACTAATTTTCAGTCAAGCATGGTGGCACACACTTGTAATTCCAGTGACTCAGGAGGCTGAGGCAGGAGGATCACAAATTTAAGGCCACCCTCAGCAACTTACAGGGACCCTGTCTCAAAATAAAAAATAAAAAAGGGTGCCTACAGATATAGCTCAGTTGATAGAGTGCTTGCCTTGTGTGCACAGGTGCACAGGCCCGGGGTTCAATCCCCAGCACCACAAAAAAAAAAAAAAAAAAAAAAAAGAAAAAGAAAAAAAGAAGAAAGAAAGAAAGAAAGAAAAAAGGGGCTGGAGTTGTGGCTCAGTGTTAGAGCACTCAACTGGCACAAGTGAGACACTGGGTATGATCCTCAGCACCACATAAAAAAATAAATAAAGTAAATGTATGTCTCCATCTACAAGTAAAGAAAAAAATATTAAAAACCAAACCCAAAAAACTAATTTTCACATTATTTGCATAACATGATAAAAAAAAAACTAATAAGGCAGACATTGTTATTCATTCTTCATTTCCATTTTCTTTCCTTCAAGGACGCCCGACATATAGCTGAACATGTGGTAGTTTGAAATAGACCATTTCCCAGCTTTCCTTGCAGCTAGATGTAACCACATCACTAACCTCCAGCCAACAGGATGGAAGTGTAAGAGTCCTATGGCAGCTTCCAAAAATCTTTAAGACCACTGGTACTTGCTCTTTGTTCCCTCCTTCTTTGTCCATTCTTTAATAGAATATAGTTAGGATAGTTGGGGTTCAGCCACCATCCTGGCCAAGGAAAATGAGTACCATATCCTGGCTATGGCAGCATAGTGAGCTATAAGGGCCCTAGATCCCCAAACTTCATGGAAAAGAGCACTTCCATCAGTCCTTGGACCCTGGGATTTTCTATTAAGGGAGAAGTAAACCTTTCTTTTGCCATTGACATTGGGCTTTTCACAAAATACCAGCTTTCTTTGGATAAAGGAAGAAGGCAGTTTCATAAATGGCAGGTTTTTATAGACCTATACTGTGTAGCCACATCTCTCTCAGGAGGGGGTATTATATCTTTTGAAGTAATTATCCTTACACTTATAACAGATGCAGCTGCTCTATCCTAGGAATCAGAGAACTGAGGCTGGAGTTGTATCTCTGTCATTAACTGGCAAATCAGTTAACTTCTCTAATCCTATCTCTTTATCCATTAAATTGGGATAGCACCATCTATGTAATAAGATTCTCTTGAGATTTAAAATATAACATATGAAAGTGTTCCAGAGTATAAATCACTATACACATAATTGTTGGTGAGAATAATTGTAAGATTCCTGTGAAGAGAAGCTGTCTTACACTATATTCTCAGTAATAAGTGCTCAATAAATATTTATTGAATAAATATTGTAAGTCCCTGTTAATGAGCAAATTATTCTGCTTTCCTGAAGTTCAAAAGTCCTTTCTGCTATTTAAAGTATTATTCGAGTTCCTAACAGACATAATTCTTCAATCAAAAGATACAAGGGTGTGAAGAAAAAAAGCCTTACCTAATCCATTTATCTGGTTCAAAAGTGGATCCCTACTTATTATACCAAAATCAACTAGAAGAAAAACTGTAGTACAGAAATGAAACTTTTATGACCCTTTCCCCCTGAAATTACCAAGTTACACACAAAAATATTCTTTAATATTTAAGTTACTAAACCTACCACATCAAACGAAGAATTTCCTCACACTGGACTGTAGCTAAAGCATTTTATTAAATTAAGTGTGAAATTTGCAAATGGTTTCATAAGAAATTTTAAAAGCAAAGTTATAAACATTTTCAATAAAAAAGTACAGAGTTAACAGCAAAATTACATTTTCTTTATAGTACAAATAAAAACATTTTGTTTCTGATATACCATCTGAAGATCTTATATTCTCCAACTGATAGCTGCAATGTTATATTTTAAGGAAAAATCTTATGGTTAATTCAATCATTTATTAATAACAGGTTCATCATTTGGACCATAAAAGTCAATTGCTCAACTTTAAGGAAAATAATAAACCTTGTCATATTATAACATGAAGTTGAAAAGGCTCTTCAGGATGCAGATGTGTCCTGGCCTTTTTTCTCTATTAAATTCTGTAAAGAGGCATTAAGTAATACTGTAAACTTGAATTACACTTCAAAAATAAGCACCATTAACATACATTCTACATAAACTTACTTTGCCTTTTAAATGACACTTTTTTGGCCACACAAACTTTTAAATCTGTTCTTTACATGTAAATAAAAATAAGCAATATTTAATCACTACACAAAAATATCATCAAACTTCACCTCATTGCACAATGAAAAAGCATTGAGAAAAAGCACTGGAAAAAACAGCACACATTATTTTTATGCATTTTGCCATTTTCTTACATTGAGAGCAGTTAAAACATTGTCAGAGCAATTTCCTGAGTTTCAAAAGTTTCCAATTTCCAGCTCAGAACTAACTAACTAATCATGTTATTACATGTATCCTTTTCCTAAGCATACAAAAACACTTGAATTTAAAAAGAAAAAAGCTATAATAAAAAGACAGAAAACCATCCAAAAAAACTGTTTTTCCTTTCAAAATGTTATAATACGCAAAACATTTTAGAGTCACAATATCTACTATATAATACGAACCATATTTAAAGGCCACAGAATTGCAGATAGTATTGAAATACTATTAGAAGAAACTTCAACTTGAAAATAACATAGAGATATATGAACAGCCAATAAGTGTATGAAAACATGCTTCAAATTTCTCACATTGGACAAAGGAGATAGACAGATTGCAAACACTGTTAAGAATCCCCTGGCCCAGAGGCATGCCCTCTGTGGTTTCTACATTAGTTCTCTTTTTCTCTTTCCTCTGGAAGATACCAGTAAGAGAATATGAATGGATTTGATACTAAAGCCTTCCAAACCACAGAAGTGCTATGCTTTTCAAATATTTTAAAGTTTACAAAGAGCTCTTCTAATATACCATCACATGAAAACTTCAATAATGCCCAAGCTATCTTCCCTTCTGGCATATAGGATTTGAAAATGGGCAAAAGAAAAGGGATCATAAATTTTCTTTCCCAAATTACGTGTTACTTAAACTATACTAGGTAGGAGGGCAGGAGGCAGTATAGGTTTAACTTCATAAAAATATTTATGATGCACAAACTCTGCTTGCAAATTTATCAATGGTAATGAAGAAATATTACCCGATTTACCAAAATAAGACATAAAATTGAAGTTGATACAGTATAGAACATAGCTTCTTTCATTTAGGTTTTACTCATAGACTACCATAACTACTTTTGACTGCTCCCCTATTAACAATCATTATCATCATAATATTGAAGTAAATCTGGCCAAAGGGCTCAAAAGTGATATTTTTTTAACCAGGTGAGAAAATATAGACACAAAAAGTGAGTATGCAACTGCATATACTCCAGTACTACACATTTTAGTGTTGTTTTTAATCTCTTTTAAATCATATTAATTTATACATAGGGATATTTTTATTTCATTAACAAGTATAATTTTATAATAAGTTGTCAAAAGGAATTGCCTATTTTAATGTACACAACACTTCTAAACATTACAAAAGTGTGCAGTTTAGTTTATTGGCATCTTTTCCCATGAATTATTACAAATGTAAGAAAGTGAATAATACTTCACCAGTCATTAGCATTTCTAAATAATAAACATATATTCCTTTTTGTGGAAATAAATTCAAAGATAGGCTTTTTCTTTTAAAAGCATGCATGGATGATTCATGAAAATACATTTTTTGAGTGTTATTTTCATTAAAATGTTTGCTTATTTGGGAAATCATTCTGTATTTCCAGGATATTTTTGGTAACAATCCTATTATTCCTGTCCAAATGATTTTTTAAACTAAATAAAAAGCAACACAATTGTTTGCGAAAATTATATGTTGAAAGTATTCTATATATCCAAAATCAAATTTATTTTAGTCACTATCTCATACTAAAAAATTATACATTACCACACTAAACCTGTATAAAAGAAATTATAATTTACATACTTACAGGACTTGTTAGCTAATGAAACAAGAGGAGTCTTTGAAAGTTTCCGAAAGTTGGCTCTTTTTCAAAATAAACGTAAAAATCTTTTAAACTGGACAGATTCCTTTTATGATGATATTAAAAATGTCTTCTGATTTAAATTAACAGGATTGTGACCTACTAGTTTAGAAATTACATGCCCCCAATATAAAATATAGTTCTTTAGTGCTGTCTCTGCTGCCACTCGGGCAAATGGTTGGTTCTGGGAGTCCTAGAAGGCAGTAACGAGTGGCAGACAGCCCACCATCTCACCTCTGAAGACCTTTCAGCCTACAGAAAGGATAAGACTGCAAGATAATCTCAGACCCAACTTTCCTCATAGAAAATGCATACACAGAAGAACAGAACAAAAGGAAAGAGTTGAGTCACATACAAAGCAGAAAAAAGTATGACAACAAGTTCCCTTCTGCAGGACATGATAAAATGAAATGATTTTATGTATTTGGCTTCAAAAGCAAAAAGAATTCAAGTGTTGTTGTTAGATAGCCTTTCTTTCTTTACTAATATTAATACACACCTCTGAAAGGTTTGAACCAGTTCTCAAAGCACATTACCTCTCACAGAAGCCTTTAGGACTTTGCTAAACGTCAAACAACAATTAATACAAAGGTAGCATTTTCTCTTTGAGAAAGAATCAGAGCACTTCAGACTTTAAAATTGCAGCTGATAATTTTCTTAGACATTTTGAAATCCATAAAAATTCTCTTTAATATTTTTAACAGGTAACATTACTTGGAATTTGATTCAGTAAAAAAATTAACTTCTCTTCAATTTTGAAAAACAATTTTTTTTCTTATAAGTGAACACTGTTCCTAATAAAACACATGTTTAAAGCAGAATTGATTGAATTATTTCAAATAAAACTAATTTTAACCTACAAACCTTCATACTTCTAAGTCAAGGACATTTATTTTACTTTAGCATGACTTTCAAGCACCCTGGTTTAATTTCAGAGAACCTGCAGAAATGAGAAAAGAGATGTTTTAAAGATAAAATTTTCAAATTGACTAAGAAATGTATCTTTTTTAAGTATTTATGCTTAGTGATATTTACTAACAAAGTGCTCTCCTTTGTCTATGTTTATGTTTCTTTTAATCTATTATCAAAACAAATATAACCCTAAGGCTGCGGGTTACTCCTAACTCAACAGTCAACACAATTTAAGATTTTTTCAAAACCTCTCAAAAGCCTTTATGAATTTGGCCTTCATGAAGAAGAGTCTGCTATATGGAGGATAAGATGGGGTCTGCATTACACTGTTTTTGTGCATAAAGCATCAAGAAATCTCTCATAAAGCAGGGAAGTCGGATTCTGGCCATGCAACACTTTTAATTGTCTCATGGTAAAATTTCAAGGAACATTAGGCAATAAAACAGATCATTAATCTCAACATTTCTGGTCTAACTACTCCTTTGTAAAAATATCTGAAATGTCACTTGTTTTCATGCTCAGAAAAAAAGCTACCTTTTTCTACACTGTAGCCAAGAAACATTTTATTACATGCCATACACAAAATGGCAAAAATGAAATAAGTGGTTACCCTAACTAAAATTGGATGGGAGGCATGACTTAAGAGCATATATCCTCAGGAAATTTATCCATCAACAGATCTTTAATCTTGGACTTGGCATTTTCTGTTGTTGAATAATGGTCACAATAAAAAAGGACATTTTAATGTATGTCAGCAAAAATCATTAATGGAACTTAACTTATGAAGACATATAAATTCATATTAACTGAATAGTTCCTGCTAAAAAGTTTCCACACTGTCAAATTAAACTATATTTTAGCAAAAGTCCAATTCCATTTAAAAATATTTTTTCTTTCAAAAGAATAATTTAACAGCAAAGCTTAATCTATGGTATGTATACATATAATCTAATTACATAATATATTATCAAAGGAACACAAATATATTTAATATATTCTATATTATTTTTTAGAATTTCAAAGTTATGATAAAGTTTTATCAGACGATTACTGAAAATAAATATGACTTTTTTATTGCTGGTTTATCACACCACATAAATGTAGCAGGGAAGTTACACCCTAGTCCAAGTATGAACCTGGGCCTAAAACCATGAGGTTCAATTCAGTTAACTATTATGATAAACAGTCTGAGCATACTGTTACTGTTTACCTAACTACATATGGGCAATTGTCATTATTAATACCAGAAATCTGTACCCACCTGAAGCTATGGCTTGTGAGGTATTTAATGACAGCTGGTTTGATGCGAGCAACTCCTCCCTGGCTGTGGTTTCCTCTCCCAGTAATCACAGAAAGATAGGGCTTACCACCATTCTGTTTAAACTCTGTTACAACAGGAATTGGAACAGATAAAATCATTTCTTACATTCTCAACAGAAAACATGCCTTAACTACTCAAATGCATATGAAATTTTCATGATGATTTAGAGGCTCATTACCTCAGAAAGCCCCCAAATTAAAAATGTTTTAAAACATACACTGCTGGGCTGGGGTTGTGGCTCAGTGGTACAGTGCTTGCCTAGCATGCATGAGGCACTGGGTTAGATTCTCAGCACCACATATAAATAAATAAAATAAAGGTCCATCAACACCAAAAAAATATATTTAAAAAATACATTGCCTCACAGCAATTTCTCCACCTGAAAAACTTAAGTGGGACTTCTCCTACAGGAAAGGAGGTTTCCATGCATTACTGCAAGTTCTCTCTGAAATGATGGTGACAGCAACAATATTAATTACATCTAACAATTACTATACACAGAGGGTTGGGCATGCTTTAAATAACTTATATTTTTGTCCAAATCACAGTTTTGCCAACAAATGACTGTATGACTGTGCACAAGTTACTTAGCTTCCCCTGTGTCTGTTTTCCTCATCAGGAAAATAAGATAACAGGATTACTTTATAGACTACCCCCCAGGAATAGCTATTAGCAAACTCACTAATTATACCATGAAGTGTAGTCCTACTGTTAAAGATGATTGTTAAGAAATTCTTCCTGATAGATAACAGTTAAAATACTGAATGAGCCTAAGATTTTTGAACGACTAAAGTTCCTGCTTTAGATATGACCTTGGGAAAGCCAGTATATAAATCTTGAAGTTAATGACAGTTGTAAAAGCACAAAAAACAAAATCTGCTCATGATACAGAGTTGATTTAATGAACTCAATAAATATCTTCGTTCATAAATAGCCCGTTTTGCTCTTAGCATAAAACACATACAAACATAACATAGCATTTCATCTTCTGCTCATTGAGTTGTCCTAATATACCAAGAAAACCCCATCAGATGGTTTTTCAAGTTTTATCATCTCCTGAGCAATGTTAGGCTTAGGAAAAAAAAGAATTTTGTATTTTATTTTTATTGATTGATTGATAGTGGGGATTGAACCCTGGGATGCTTTACTATTTAGTTACATTCCCATTCCTTTTTGTTATTTTATTTATTTATTTTTGAGACAGGATCTTACTAAGTTGATGATGGTCTTGCAAAATTTCTGAGGCTAACCTTAAACTTTCGATCCTCCTGCCTCAGACTCCCAAGTCACTGGGATTACAGGCATCTGCCACTGCACCTGGCTAGGCTTAGAATTTTAAAAGAACACATTGTTCTTGCATTTTTAATTCCTTATATTTGCCTAAATTTCCCATTTCTACTCTAATCCATAGCCATTATTTCAAGCAATGTTGTTAAAACTCATCTCTTTCTGGGTGCTACCTATAGTTAGGTTTCCACTTTATAAAAAGGCTTTATACTACACACCTGTAAATAAGGGAACTGTTGTTCAGGTATGTTATACCCCAAAAGTTTACTTACCAAAAACACCTTAAATCTCTTAACTGACCATAATTCACTCTCACACACTCCTTCATTATTGTTCTCCTTATAGGTTAGGTCATTTATACCACCTCACCTTTCAAAGTTCACATGCTGCTCTGAAGGTATTGTCCAGTTGATTCACATGCCTCAAAGTGGGAGTTCAGAGGATATTTGTTTCATTAATTAATTAAAGTGTATGTTTAACTTCCCAAATTACAGGCTGTTCCTGCTGTTTAACACTTTTGAAAAAACTCTCACTCACTTTTCAGCACATTCCAGACTGCTTACTATTTCAACTGCAAATATATCAATATGTATCTCAAAAAAGCACTCTTTTAAAAAATGTCACTACATGTCAGACACACTGGTTATGTGCCAGTAGTCACAGCTACTTAGAAAGCAGGAGGATCACTTGAGTCCAGGAGTCAGAGAACAGCCTGGGCAACAGTGAGCCCCCATCTCAAAAAAAACCAGCAACATCACCATCTTACAAAATTAATAACTCCTTAATATCATCAGTTTCTAAAAATTTCTCTCCCAGTTATTTTTAAAAAGTATTTTTAAAGTGATTTGTTTGAATCAGGATTTATTTTTTCCACATTTTTACTGGTGTATATATGATGATGGGATTTGATGATTTGTTGGTACATTTTCCTACAGGCACACAATATAACAATATAATTTGGCCAATAAATTTCCCCAGCATTTCCTCCCACCCTCCAATCAGGATTTAAATAAGTCCACATATTACATTTGGTTGATGTATATATGTTTGTACACATAATACACACATACACACACACACACGTACACACACACAGTGGTGCTGGGGACTGAATGGAGATTGAATGGCTAGTATGTGTATATATGTACACGTATGCACACACATACACATGCATTTTGTTTTCAATACTGGGATTGAATTGGGAATGCTCTACCCTGAGCTACATCCCCTCCCTTTTTTGTTTTGAGATAGGGTGTCACTAGGTTGCTCAGGTTGCCCTCAAACTTACAATCCTCCTGCCTTGGCCTCCTGAAAAGCTAGGATTATAGGCAGATGCCATCATGCCCAACTTAGTGTTTGTTTATTTGTGGTCCTGGGGAATAAGGGTTGGGCTCGGGTGGACACTGAGCTACATCCCAAGCCCTTTTATTTCTTATTTTGACACAGGGTCTCACTAAGCTGCCCAGGCTGGCCTCAAATTTGCAAACTTTCTACTTCAGCCTCCAGAGGGATTATGGACCATGAACCAGCACTACTGGTCAGCTTGGTATATTTCTTAAGTAACTTTTAATCTAAAGGTTTTTCCCTCCTTTTGTGTTTTTCTTTAAAAAATATTGGGGAAAAAATGATTCATTTATCCTAGATTTTTGACAATCTGGATTTGCTGACGCATCCCCATTCGTGTTGTTTAACATGTTCCTCTATCCCGCATAAATCTCTACAATATGTAATCAGAGCTAAAGGCTTGATCAGCTTCTGGTTGGATTTGGGGGCAAAAATACTCTTTAGGCAGTGATGTGAACTTAAGTCACAAAACACAAGGCCCAGAATGTCTCTATTTTTTTACAAATCTACAATTTTGACAATCCTTTTATGCTGTGACAAAAAGCAATGCAGGGCAGAGCCACAGTTTTTCCCCTGAAAACGTTTCTATTCAACAATACTACCATCTGGTGGTGATTTGCAGTAACTACAGGCTACTATAGGTCACCTCATAACAAGATGGGCTTTGGCTTCCAGAAAAAATTTGTATCTTAGCTATGAAGAGGTGTTACCATGGGCAAAGTATTTCTTTTTTCTTACAATTTTTTTAATTGAGATAAAATTCACATAACAAAATATCATTTTAAATGTATAATTCAGTGATTTTTAGTATATTTACATTTTACAACCAATCCCCCTAATTCCAGAACAGAGAACATTTATCATCTCCAAAAGAAATTCTGTGCCTATTAGCAGTCACCTCCAACCCCTCCTTTCCGGCCCCAGACACCATGAATCTATTTTCTGTCTTTATGGATTTCCTATTAAGACATTTGGATAAATGGAATCATACAATAAAATTCCATTGTATGGATCTACTACATTTTGTTTGTGTATACACACACACAGAGATTATTCAATGATGTAAAAAGAAGGAAATGTTATCATTTTCAAATATGGATAAACCTAGAGTGCATTATTATCAGTTAAAATAAGCCAAGCAGAGAAAGACAAATACTGTATAATTTCACTTATATATGGAATCTGAAAAGGAAAGCCCAGGAAAAGAGAGTAGTGGTAGCTGAGAGATATTGGTTAAGTGGTACAAACTTTCAATTTTAACAGTAAGTTCCAAGGAGCTTGTGTAACAATGGCAGCTATTACTAATAATAGTGTATTATATACTTGAAATATGCTAGGACTAGATCACAAGTATCCTCACCACACACACACAGAAAAAAAGTGGTAACTCCAGGAGGTACTGGGTGTACTGACTTGACAATTCTGCAAAAATCTATCACCTTATTTACTTTTATATTTTATTAAATATAAATGTCAATTAAACAATTTATATCCTATAAATATCTATTGCTTAACAAACATCAACTGAACAAAAATATACAATATTACTGAAATGTCTTATTTATAAGTCACAAAAGATTCTCAGACTACACTACACCTCCCTTCAATAAATATAGCAAATAACCAAGACTGAGATATAAAGGGAAACAAGGTGAATAATGGTTATTCAATGAGAACTGCCTACAAGAAGGCTCTATGGAAGAATGACGAATATAGCTATGCTAAGCCAACAAGACACTCATTACATGTGGCACAGATATCCCCAGCCTGCATGTTCAGTTGCTCCTGAATTTGCAAGTTATATCAAAAGACAATTTCTATTCACAATAGAAAAATGGGTCATCACCTCACTCCTACCTTCAGTTTTCTGCTGTAAAACTGTCATCAAATGTTCTATTGCTTCATCCACATGCAGCCCATGGAGGTCTAAGACATTCTGTGGCAGCAGGGAGGCATTAACTTTCTCAAAGATCTCCACAGCAGCAAGGTGGTTGGCTTCTTTCATTTTCTGCTCATGAAGACTGCCCTTTAATTGTCAACAAATCACCAATGGACATTTCAGATATTTTCTACGTAAATGAAGAGGAAACTAACATTTCCTCTGCTCTAAATAAAAGGCAGAACGATAAGCCTAAAATCTCAAATAACCCAACGGGCTAAAGTACAAGAACCGCACCAAAATTTAGGTAAATTTCTGCAGATTAATAATGTATTTTTAAAATATTGAATCATGGTTTCTACCAAATTTTTTGAACCAAAAATCATAAAAGAAGGAAACTAAACACTAGCCATCTCATGAAAGAGCCCACTCATTCAATATTGATAACAAGGTGTGCCCTTTGATAATCTTGGTTTCAGGGTCATTCCCACTCACCATCCCACAATTACCTCCTACAGTCATCGCCAGGGCCCTGTTATCAGGGCTCACAGAGCTATACCAGCTTGACACCTTTCTCTGGTCAATCACAAAACAGCCATTGTGGAACCATAAAATGAAAAGTAAATCCAGAGGATTTCTTAAAATACCATGCAAAATGAGCCCAGGTAGAAATTTAATTCCCCTAAAAAATATTAATGTCATTTTCTTTTTCTGACCATAAAAGTGATACATTACTAGAGATTCAAATACAACAGAAAGCCCAATACCCGGTAATTCCACTGAGATATATTCTGTTTCCTTTCCTCCAGAAAACTTACCCATTTAGAAGTGGCACTGAATGATCGAATCTAATCTTAAAGAAAATATGGACTGTCAGAATAATATGTAATTCACATAGGCTATCAATATAAAACAACTGAGTGGCTGGGGCTCAGTGGTAGCGCACTTGCCTGGCCATGTGTGAGGCACTGGGATCATTCCTCAGCACGACATATAAATAAATAAAATAAAGATTTATCAACAACTAAAAAAGTATTTAAAAATAAATAAAATAACTGAGCATTCAAAGGAGATTAAATTCATACAACCACATTTTGTTTACATGATAATGCCTTATTGATATCATTTATATAATCTCCAAACCACGCCCCCTACCCAGTATAATATAATCACAACACAGTACAGGGTTATCTGCTTTAAGATTATTTAGATACCATAACTAACAAAGAGTTGAATTATAATCAGTTTTCTACTTTACCTGCTGGGCATAAAAGGTGGCAACATTTTTCTTCCCCATTCGGTAAGCTTCCTTAGCTTTGCTATAGCATTCCATCCTCTTCTGCTGGTGCAGGAAAGCCTCTGCCCTGTAGTCATCATACTCAGGGTACTCGAAATCCTGGAAAGATGGTTCACTTGGGGTATCTTCAGTCTCCTTCAATTTCTTTGCCTATAAGATATTACATAGTAAGTAACATTCAAAGACAGTAAAAAAACACATATCTTCAGAAAACACATACAAAACTTGGGCTCTCTCATTTATCATCTTTCTTCTCAAAAAACAGATTCTACCTTTTAAGTCAGGCATTTATTGACTATCAGTAACTTTTTCATGTCATTAATGTTACCCCTCCCCTTTTTAACCATTCTTACCTCAGGAGATGATGAAGAGTTCTCAAAAGTTATGAAAATATAATTAGGTCACATACAAGCCAAAAGACAGAATATGAGATATTGAAAGAATAAAACTCATTTATCCAATGGAGGAATTCTAAGTTCATTAAAGGTAGAAATGGCATATTTCAATTTATCTTTTTAAAAATCCAACTGAGAACTGGTGGTATATCAGGGTAGAGCACTTGCCTAACATATACAAGGGCCCTGAGTTCAATCCCCAGCACTGCAGGGGGTGAGGGAAAGGTAACTTAAAAATCCAATTGATACAATAAACTGAATAATCTTCTCTTTAAAACAGAAGAGCCAATCATAGTGGCCCATTCCTGTAATCCCAGAAACTAGGCAGGAGTATCAAAAGTTCAAAAGCCAGTCTCAGCAAAAAGCAAGACGCTAAGCAACTCAGTGAGACTCTGTCTCTAAATAAAAAATACAAAATAGGGCTGAGAATGTGGCTCAGTGGTTCATTGCCCCTAAGTTCAATGCCTAGTACCAAAAAAACAAAACTAAAAAAAGAGCTTAAGGAGTTATCATGGCTGGTAGTTAATAAAGATTGTAACTTTGTTCATGGGGCAGTTTCAACCAGCTAATTAGATGAGGTCAGCCACTAGCCACTGAGGTCAATTAGCTATTACTAGCTATTACTCAATTTCAAAGATCTTTTTAAAAAAATTATCATGTGATAATAATCATGTGATAATATTATCATATTAAAATTATCATGTGATAATAATAATGTATAAAACAGACCCTTAAAGGAAAAGTCACTGTACTGTAAAGATAATGAAAATTAACCATTATGTAAATTGCCTCAGTGCTCTCCACCAAAGAGGAAAATTACATTTTTAAAATAATATTCTCACATGGTGCATCCAAATATCTCTAGAATATCAAAAACCAGTGTCAAAAAATAAATAAAATACATTACCATGCTTCTAACTCATTACCAGACCTAAAATATGTAAATCAATCAATTAATTTTTGCAACAAACACCCAACTTATTTTATGAAAAAACAATGCAAGGATGTCTCTTTAATATTTATTTTCTAGTTCTTGGCGGACACAACATCTTTGTTGGTATGTGGTGCTGAGGATCGAACCCGGGCCGCACGCATGCCAGGCAAGCGTGCTACCGCTTGAGCCACATCCCCAGCCCCAAGGATGTCTCTTTTATAAGAATATTCACAGACCCTATCTTCTTATTCACTCTTGCTGGTGCTTAAGCACAGACCAGTTTATATTAAAGTTCAAATATTCTGAGTGCCTGGCTTACTTTCCTGATAAAATCAAAGACTTCAGGGAGGCAGTTTAATAAAAATACTTTCTACAGCCTGGTGCAGTGGTGCATGCCTGTAATCCCAGCGACCTGGGAGGCTGAGACAGGAAGATGGCAAGTTCAAAGCCAGCCTCAGCAAAGTCAAGGCACTAAGCAACATGGTGAGAGCCTGTCTCTAAATAAAACACAAAATAGGGCTGGGGATGTGGCTCAGTGGTTGAGTGTCTCTGAGTTCAATCCTCAGTACCCCCCCCCCCAAATAATACTTTCTACAGTGTTTGAAATTTGCACAGTGCCTAACACTATGAACATCATAAATCTCTTACAGCAAGGGTCTCTTTTTACTAAACAATGCAAATCATATTTGGTTCTCTAATAAGAGATCTTTCATTGCCTGTTTTCAAAGAAGAAAAAACAGTAAATGATAAAAGATACTTTCTCAGGTACTCTTTTAAAATGCAGCTGGCATTTATTTTTATATCCATTTCATATGAATGTGCTATACTATAATTTCATTAACAAGAGCCAAGTGAAATATTCTTTCTTTCCTAAAAATCCACCTAATAAGTATCACTTATTCTCTTATAAGCCTGACTGATGCACTCTAATGCCAAAATCATTTCTTATGGATAACAAATCTGTACATTTTAATATTACTATTATACTATTATACTATTCTTTAGCCTTTATTAAAATGTACAGGTTTGTTATCCATAGGAAATGATTTTGGCAATTAGAGTGCATCAGGCTTGTAAAAGAATCCTAAAAGATCTTTACCAGTTTTGTGACACCTACCCATATTTTGTGAGCAAGACTGATTTCCAGAATAACTTAAAGGTTAAAATTTTGGTCAAGGTTTATATAATTCACACAAACTCCCTTTTCTGATTTTCCAGTCATCTCCCACTTCAAACAATACACCTCCTCCCTATCGTTTCCCTCATCATCAGAATGACCCACAGTGCCTTGAATACCATTAGGACAGAGAAATAATCTTCATTTCTAGTCTGGCCTACAAGGCCGCATGATCATTCTGTGCACTATCTGCATCTTATAATAAATGGCATCTATCTATCATGGTACCTTATTTTCCATATGATCACAGGCATCAAGAATATCACTTAGATTCTGTCCCAAGAACAGCAATAATAGGTCATATGAATAACAAAATTACCCAAGTCCAATATATCATCTATGTCATGGTGAAATATTCAAAGAAAAAAAGGAACAAGTAATTTATCCCTGAGAATTCTTAGAAATAACAATAATATAGGGCTGGAGATACAGCTCAAGGGTAGTGCTTTATTTTTTATTTTTTGATGCTAGGGATTGAATCCAAACAAGTGCTTTACCACTGAGCTATATCCCCAGCCTGGTAGAGCTCTTACCTAGCATGCCAGAAAGAAGGAAGAAAGGAAGGAAGGGAGGGAAGGAAGGGAGGGAGGGAGGGAAAGAAGGAAGGAAGGAAGGAAGGAAGGAAGGAAGGAAGATAAAAAGAGCAATATGATAAAGTTATGTAAAAATGTCTTTATATAAGATTAATATACAAAATTTTTTATGCATTTACAGTGAACAATACAAAAATAAAATTAAGAAAATAATTCCAATATAAAATGTGCAACAACTTTGGAAAAAGAGCACATATTTACACTCTAGATCCATTATATTATAAAACCCCACTGCTATTCAATTTTGGGGGTGCACATGGAATTCTAAACCAAATATGCTATTCGTCATTAAATTTCCCATAGTCAATGGTGAGAAATAATCCTTAAAATTATTATGCTTAATAAACAAATCTTATTTTATATATAATTATCTACCATTGTAGTGAAAAAATAAGTAATTGTATACCTTTTTCTCTTTAGTCTTCTGTGCAGTATGAGAAGTGACATTCTCATTTTGGTGAACAAAGTCTTGAGCTACAACTGTTTTTACAGGATCTCCTTCGAGAACACAGTTTAAAAACTGCACTGTGTGTTCTAATGAATAGCTGTAGAAAGTTTAAGTACAAATATAATGTCAATATGTAAAAATAAGATACGTGGAGACATTAGCATAAGCAATCATCAAGTATTTTGTAAGAAATAAATTTTCAACACTGAAACAAAATGTTTATTGTGTATTTCAAAGAGTCAAGACTGATCTGCAGGAAGCTAATCAGGAATAGGCTCACACAAACTAACTTTAAAATTCTTAAAAAATTTCCAAAAGGTAACATTGGAGGGTGGGATGGATGGAGAAAGGTTGATCAATGGATACTAAGTTACAGTTAGATAATAGCAAGATGTTCTAATGTATTATTATATAGAAGGGTGATTATATTATCTATATTATCTACATCTATATAATATTAAACCACATTGGATACCCTCATGTTCTAATATCTAAAGAAATTAATTCCAAAGAAAATTATAAATTATTTCACACTACTCATTATTTCAGACTATTTATGCCTCTCATTTCTTCCATTGGCCAGATAATGAAGAGCTGACCATATCTGAATATTTTTGAAATGTGACAGGCAGTTATCTAAAATAGTATGTATTAGTACTCTTCAATTTATCATAGATGACTTGTGAAGGGGAGCCATTTGGGACTTGCAATTTAGCTTTAATCCTCTCATGATGCTGCCTTAGAAAAGCTCAACACAGAGAGGTTTCTAGGGGCTGAATGCTACTAACAACTATCCAATCTTTTTGAGCCCTTAAAATCACCTACCAGCTGGACATGGTGGTCCACACCTGTAATCCCAGAGATTTGGGAGGATGAGGTAGGAGGATCACAATAAGACCCTATCTCAAAATTTTAAAAGCTGGGGATGTAGCTCATGGTAGAGCACTCCTGGGTTCAATCCCAAGGATCACAAAAACAAACAAAAAATCATCTGCCCACTCATGGGGCTGGAAGTTAGTCCCCACCACTGGTATTTTGTTTTGAGGGTTATGGCCCCAAAAGATTATACTTCATTCATAAGTATAGATTATAAGATTATAGTTCAAGTATAGAAGTAACTTAGCCCACCTACCCTCCTTACCATAATGAAGTTGAAGCTACTGTTTGCTAAAAGAATTAGCTGTTGGCAGATAACCACCCACTCCAAGCGCCTGACTAACCAATCACTCTGACCATCCCTAGAAAGGACTCATAGAACCCCCTCACTTTGCTTGGGGAACACAACTCTGAATTGTTTCACCTCAAATCCTCTGGCCCCTGCCCCAACAGAAGAGAGCTACCAGATGCCAGCAACACCTTCCTATCCCGGAACTTTCAGAGATCTTAATACATAATTTTAAGACAACAGTAGGTTGGTAGTAAAAATATATTAAAAAATTATGGATTGAAATAAAACTATTTAAAAAACAATTTAAATGACTTACTTAGAACTTTGCATATTCAACAGAGAATAATATTCTTTTCAAAAGTGCTCTATAAAATATTTATAAAAAATGATCATGTATTAAACCACAAAGAAAATCTCAAATTCCAAAAAATAGAACTCTTTATCTATGCATGCAGTACTAGGGGTTGAACCTTAGGGCCCTCTACAGCTAAATTATATCCCCAGCCCTTTTTATTTTTAGTCAGGGTCTGGCTAAATCGCTGAGGCTGGTCTCACACTTGGATCCTCTTGCCTTAGCCACCTAAGTCACTGGGTTTACAGGTGTCTACCATCATGCCTGACAAGAAAAAAATTTTAAAAGGGTCAACCTTACTAGTAATTACAAAATAAAATTTCTTTTTTTTTTAAAGAGAGAGAGAATAGAGAGAGAATTTTAATATTTATTTTTTAGTTTTCAGCGGACACAACATCTTTGTTTGTATGTGGTGCTGAGGATCGAACCCGGGCCGCATGCACGCCAGGCGAGCGCGCTACCGCTTGAGCCACATTCTCAGCAATAATGAAATATCTTTTTTCCTATCAGATTGGCAGAAACTTAAAGTTCCTAATATCCAGGGAGGTTATACTCCCTGTACATATAATTAATACAGCCAGTCTTTATTAAAGGAAATTTGCATTAGCTATAAAATTTTTCAATGACACACACTATAAAGCAGCAATTTCACTTTTAGGAATTATCCTACAATAGCATTCACCCATGTACACAAAGATGTATGTTCAGGGATGCTCACTGTAACATGGTTAGAATTTTCTTACAGAATTTTCTTACCACAAACAGAGGTATATTTAAATAATTATGGCACTTTGGATTAATCTGCAGGCTTGAACAAGAAAAGAGCAGATCACAAGGACAGAAAAATAAACACTAGCAAAACTACAAAATCAGTACATAAAATACAATCTCTTATTTAAGTGAAGTACACACACACACACACACACACACACACACACACAAAAGCAAATAGGCACATATCATTAGCACATATGTAAGAAAAACATTGAAGAATATGAATTCCCAGGAACTGTTAGCCTTCTACATTATATACATTGCATTTAAATTTGTTTATATATTATTTTTAATGAGAAAAAATAAACAAAAAAGATTATTTGGCATATGCTTTCAGTGACATCAGAGTAGAAACTCTAGATACTCCTTCTGGCACTCACTTGTGATCCTTGAAAATGTCCACCAGAAAATTTTGATTAATGGCTGGAAATATCTTAAAGAGCTGCTTCTCCTTTAGTTTAGTGGCACAATCTTTTTCAAACATAAGTGTCTCCCTTTTCTAAAACAAAAACATAAAAATCACCTTTTAGGATGAAATTTATAACACAAGCAATGCTAACCAAAAGAATAATTATTTTGTTGCAAAAAAAACTAAGAATTTACAAGCAATCAAAGAATTTCTTCACTGATTAATGGTTGAAGTTAGTAGTGTATCATTGCACTATCCCATTTTTAGAAAGTATTTGAAATCCAAAGGACTTAAAATCAGCATATTACAGGGACACAGCCACATCAATGTTTGTAGCAGCACAATTCACAATAGCTAAACTGTAGAGTCAACCTAGATGCCCTTCAGTAGATGAATGGATTAAAAAAATGTGGTATATATACATAATGGAATTTTACTCAGCAATAAAAGAGAATAAAATCATGGCATTTGCAGGTAAATGGATGGTGTTGCAGAAGATAATGCTAAGTGAAGTTAGTCAATCCCAAAAAACCAAATGCCGAATGTTTTCTCTGAGATAAGGAGGCTGACTCATAGTGGGGTAGGGAGGGGGAGCATGGGAGAAATAGAACTCTAGATAGGGCAGAGGGGTAGGAGGGAAAAGGAAGGAGCAGGGGGTTAGCAAGGGTGGTGGAATGTGATGGACATCATTATCCAAAGTAACTGTATGAAGACACAAATTGGTGTCAACATACTTTATATACAACCAGAGATATGAAAAATTGTGCTGTATATGTGTAATAAGAATCGTAATGCATTCCATTGTCGTTAATTTTTTAAAAATCAATAAAAAAGACATTATATCATCTGATGATGCAAAAAAAAGAAAGTATTTGAAGTTGCTCATAAATGTATAACTACATATATAATCACACAGATGTGTATGGGTGTATAAATATGTACACACACACTCATATATACATATCCAATACATTCAATCATATTAATAAAAGAATATATATATACAGTCATGCACCACATAACACCATTTCAGTCAATGACAGACCACACATACCATGGTGTACCACAGCCTAAGTGTGTAGCCTACACTCTCTTGGCTCAAGCAAGTACACTCTATGATGTTCACTCAACATATTGCCTAATGTCACATTTCTAAGAACATTATCCCTGTTGTTAATTGATACATGACTATATATAAATAAATAAAAGGTTAAGCATGGGGTCCAGTCTAGGAAACAGAATTAAATGAAAATCACAAACAAGCACAATTGACTGAGTCAGAAACAATAGCTTAGTATTTGTACTAACTCATACCAAATCATGTTTTTCCTGTAAGGCAATTTCTTCCGACATTATTTCTCTGAGTGATACTTTTTTAGTTTGAGTATTCCAATGATCCAACAAGGGGAGCATTTCGGGTGCTGCTAAAGTCTTCAGCAATTTTTTGCCTGTTCTCTGAGATGATTTTTGTTCAGGATTATCAAGACCAATATGTCCAACCAGGGAAGAATCTACAAGAGCAATATAAGTACTGTCAAATCCTCAACAATTAATGTACAAAATCCAACAGAGGTCAAGGAAATGTGCTACTGTTTTTAGGTTTTACTTTTCAGCTTTTAAATATATAATAGCTCTGAAATTTCAAAATACATCTACACATAATTGCAAACAAGAAATAAAATGTGTAAGTGTAGGAATATTTCAAATGAGAACATTGATCTGAATAAAACTATTAATCAACTTAGCATATAATGGTGATATGTATTTAGGACACTAATAAATAGAGGAAGTTGCAGCCAATGAATTGAGCAAGTGAACTCATTGGTTAGTTCTGCCCAGCTACTGCAAGGACTGAGAGGATCAATATTTTGGCAAATCTGTAACTCACTGGAGGCACACAATAAATATTGAGCTAATGATATTCAAAATAAAGAACTGAACATTCTAAGAAGTTCACAGTAACAGAATTTAATGTGTAAAATTTCAGCATCTCTACAGACACATGCTGACATACTGCTTTGTTTTCCCAGGGAGAGAAGAAACAGCAAACACTGGCATTCCCACAACCACCATACACTCCAGGTTCTTCTACCCCTCATACCACGTGGAAGCTATGATGTAAGCATAGGTCTAAATCCAACCTAGAGCTCTATGCCTTGGTCACAGCTGGGAGTGGACAAAAGAGATGCCTGGAGGATTTCATAAACAAAGAAGTACCCTTATCAACACTTCTTCCACCCCTCAGCAGAAATCAATGAAGACAATGTTGCCTTAAAGGAATCATCTGTAATCAAGTATTCAAAGTGGTAGGATGTACCAAAAAGCAGGCTGGCCTTTGGGCTCTAATATTTTAACATCAGTAAAAACTTTGAATAACCATGTAATGCAGTGCTCTCAGATATTATATTTTACTGTTCCCAAACCAAAATACTTTTCAGTTATGCAGAGCAAAACCTTAATAGGGAACACTTTGACTATATTTATTAGAGCATACTTTAGGTGTTTCACAGCACTCATGATAAAGATATAGTACAGAGGTTTTATTCTCCTTTTTTATTTTGTATCAAGATTCAATGTTAAAGCCCAGCAAGGTAGGGTATGCCTGTAATTCCATGGGCTGGAGAAGCTGAGGCAGGGGGATCACAAATTCAAGGTCAGCAAGGCCCTAAACCCCTCAGTTAGACCCTATCTCAAAGTATCAAAATAAAAGATTCTAGGGATATAGCTCAGTGGTAAACCACCCCTGGGTTAAATCCCCAGTACAAAAAAAAAAAAAAAAAAGAAAGGAAGGAAGAAAGAGATTAAATGTTAAATACTTTTAAAGAACTTTCATTTACAAATCAAAATTTGAGTAAAATATTTTTGGAAGGATATTTAGAATGAGTTCACACACACACACACACACACACACACACACACACACACACCAGTTACAACATTAAGACAAGAACATCAAAAATAAAAATACATGCTTTACCTTGAATAACCCTGCCACAAGATACTTCCTCTTGTCTTTGTCGCTCCTAAAAACGAATGCAGAGCAGGGGATTAACAAAGGAGTGCACTGGTAACCAAGCTCACAGGTTATATTATTTTTCCTTAAAAATCATTTCTTTTTATATAATTGTAAATTGTTCTTACTAACTGTAAGGAAAACAATAAAATTAGATAAATAAAATTATAAATATGGCTATATCTAAATACTGCTCCACTTACAGAGCTCTTACGTTGCATTTTCTAAAAAAATGTTTTTGAAATTTAATCAATTCACACTGCAGTCTTTTAGGGAATAAAAAACTCACTGTTTATTTTTTTTCTTTAAAAAAAAAAAAATCAACAATCACATTGAGCTCCATCGCTAATTATATAATTGGCCAGTCTGGAAATAGCTCAAATACTGAAAAGAGAAAAACAATCAGTAATCTGTTAACTGGTAAAAGTTCATTCTCTCAAAGTCAAAATTCAATAAAACTTTTATATAGTATGGTAGATTTTATTGAAAACAAAGGTAACAAAATAAGACACAAAAGGAGTTCTTCATATAAAGAAGCCTACCAACCATTACAGATTCTTTCCATTTCTCATGAATCACTTTAGCCAGATTCAGATCTATATGAACCACACAATCCTCAACTGTTAGAGACCCTTGTAAAGCGGAGAAAAAGAAAAGAAAATACATTCATTACTCATTATATATTTGCAGAAAATGTACTCAACTATCATATGCATTATAAAGCTGATTTGTATTATTAATTAGTAACTTATGCTCATCTATTTACTTTAGCCTCTTGGAATATTTTTCTGTTGTCATTGTTTTCACACTTCTTAATTGGTACAATTATACAAAGTTTCATCAAGAATCTGTTATTCACTTTCCTTAGTTTCAATACATGTAATTGATTCATTTCCATTAGTTCAGATTTTTCAGTAAGTGTATTCTAAGAAATTAATTCTTGCTTTAAATGTATCTGGAATAGCACCAGAAGACTCAAAGAAGTTCATCTGTGTAAGTGTGAGATTAATACCACAGTAAATATTCAATTCACACATGGGATGGATGCAAACTACAATATAAATGTTCTCTACTTCTTCAAATCTCTTTTTATTAAATCCTCTAAGAAACATGCTGAGCAAAAATTAAGGCACTATGTGCAGTCAGACACCATAAATTACTTTTACTTTTCAGTTAGCATATGAAATAGTTTTGCAATTAAATAGAACCTTTGTATTTCTTTCACACAAAGACATAATATAGGTAACTTAGTTTTTCCTTACCTGAATCAATACCAACTGGGCCAAATAATTCATTGAGTTGAAAAGCCAGTTCTGGGGGTAATGCCAATTCCAGACAGTCTATGGTCAGAGATTTGGCCATCCCTGGCATGGGATTCAATATCTCAGTTTTATCTTCTTCATTAACTCCAACTGACAAGCTACTTCCCGCCATTAGAATTTTCTCCATTTCCTGTTCATCTACATTCATAAATTCTTCAGAATTCACAAATTTCACATAATCTTTTGGAAGATTTTCATTTTTCTTTATTTCCAAAGAATCAGTAAAGTAAACTTCTTCATTTAATTCAAGATTTGAAGTACTTGATACAGAGTTTAAAATATCTGATAAATTTAAAGAAGAATGTATACCATCTTCAGTCTCTGCCGCTACTAGACTGTTCTCTATTTCACTCACATCTTTAGGGGTAGCGGATTTTAGAATAACTGGAAGAGACTGCTTGAAGCTACATAAACCTGATAGTTCTACCTGGCTATTACGAAGTATTTCACTATTACTCTTCAGATCTACAGCAGCATTAGGAAATACATTTGTTATTGATCCAAGCTTTTCAGGAGTTACGGCTCTTATTTCTGCCTGCTCTGAGTTTAACTTTTCAGCATTATAGCTAGACTGTGAATTAATATTACTGATACAGATTCTAGGACTAATTTCTGGCACAAAAGAATTAGAATCCTCTACTGTTTCTCTTTGGCTAATAATTTCCTTCAAATTCAATCCCATAGAAAATGGTCCAACTTGTGATTCATCATATGATTTTTGGAAATTGTCTGATTCAGTATCCTCACATAATTTAGTTTCAGAATCCAACAGAAGACTTGTGGCCCAAATAATATCTTTATTACACCTTTCATATAAATCTTTTAAGGCTTCTAATGAAAAAGATCCAAACAGCTTACAAAGGATGTTAAGATTTTCAGATTCATCAGCACTGGTAAGTTCACTTTCTTCAACATACGTGCTTTTATCATACATTACCCTATATGGAATTGTCTCTTGAACATTTGACTTTGTGTTAATATTGAAAGCTTTTGGTTTAAATCCATCTAATCTTCCTATTAATACTTTGATAGAATCTGAAACACTGATTTTATTCTTTTCTATTTTCCATAAGAGAGCAAAATCCTGTGGTTCAGTCTGGGTACATGTGCCTACTTCTATTCCGGGGACTCCTCTAG